CCAACAAAATATATCCTTTTAGGTATCCCTGAGGGGCACCAAGCCTGACTTTTCGAAGTAAAATGAAATTTGATGGATTATTTTTAGACATACATAGATCGACTTAAATTGTTATGCTGTCTTCAAACATAACATTTGTTTAAATACAATGGTTCGCTACTCAGCTGAAAATTAGTCAATTGTCTTATTCATGAATTAAGCTTGGTGTAATAGTAGCATTTTGTAGAATATCAAAAGTACTATCGAATAGTACCGAATACGATACGGATCGTTCCTTTCATAACAACATTGAAGAGAAATCGTGTTCTAAGTACGTTTATAATGTATATGGGTAAAATGGAACAGACCCCTCTTTTATTGGTTTGTGTTTAGTTGTAAGGTTTGAGTTTTTGCAGCGGATTCTTTTGTCACGAATTTATATAAAAATGTTGGTTCTTTCATCTGATGCTTAATTAATACTTAATTAATTAAAAAGTAAATAGCGAATAACTCTTTAACCTTACAATAAAAAATCCTAAAATTTCAAGATAGACTCTATACAACAAACTATATCTATGATAAAATTTTCACAGAGATCGAACTTCAAAAACAATTTTCCCTCCTAAAAATTAATGTTCTAGAGGTACCCTCATGTTTCGAAGCGAAACTTTTTACATTACTTTAATCTCAAGACTTCCGAGAATGATTTATTTCAGATAGAGTTACTTTTTAGATTTCTCATTCATCGAGAAGAGCATTTTTTATTTCTCTATTCATACTCAGTCACGTCACTAACGACGAGCAAATGCGATTTTTTGCAAAAACCTCAGCAATTTTAGAAAAAACATTGCACGTAGAATTTTTAACCTGAGGAGTCCTCTAACAAACGCACGATTTAGCTTTCAAAAATATTGTTTGAATTTGCAGTATTTTCAAATGGAAATGCATTCAGCGAGAAGCTATGTCATGTCGCCAGCGCTAGGTTTTTTGAGCTAACTTCTCTGACTATAGGTCTATAGAACTGATTTTCTTAGAATATCTAGAGTAACTTAACATACATATGACCTATAAATATGAGCTCTTGGAGCAGTCATTATTCAAAGGTATGCACATTTTAATTGTGTGACGTCACATCATTAACAAATGATGTCGCCAATATATGCGTGAACAATATCATCTAAAGAAAAAAAAGGAAAATAAAAACATCACGCCATATTTCTATCATTGAATAGCACAAAAAATGAGCGTTCATTCGTTTTATAATCCAAATACAAGGTGTTGAAAGTAAAAGAAATACTTTTCATATGAGCACTGCATAACACGAACCCTATACAGGATAGATATAATCTAGTTTTAAGTCAATCCGTGCATGAATAGAGCGGTGACTAATTGATTAATTCAAACAGCAATTCACTATTAACATCCATATTGACTCTTAGGAAAATATGAAATTGAATTTCGAAATGGAGCCAATTTTATCGCTTTAACGATCTGTCTCTGTTCTTGCAGAATGACATGAAATTGCTGAAAATTTATATTTTCATCTCAGATTTTCTTTCACAAAATATATATTTCACACCGAGACTTTGTGTACTCCGGCTCATGTGATTAGGAAAGAGAAGCAGAGGGTTTTTGTCCTCTTAAGTTTTCTGTTGTGTTTAGCCTTTCTCCCTGAAAACTTTTGTTGGCTGCCGCTTAGTGGATTTCTCGTTTTTTTCTCTAGAATGAATATAAGAAAAATATGGATAAGAGAAGACTTTTCCCTTGTTTTCAAAAAGAATCATCGATTTTCTCCGAGAGAGATAGTTTTAATCAAATACTTCAAAGAAACTCAATATTTTTTTTACAAACAAAATGCTTTTACTTTAATTTACAAGGAGAATTAGTCACTTTTTTCTGCTGCTTGAATAAAACCAAATGAAAGCTTATGGCGTACACTTGACAAACCAGTTATTTATTTGTAAAATAACGACAATAGTTCAATGCAAAAAGTTAGTACAGAATATAGACATAGAAGTTTTATCGACATGTTTAGCAGCAGAAAAAGTCTAAAAATAAGGAATACCGGAATATATCCTTTTGGGATTTATTGAAGCCAGAATATTTATCTATGGATAATATATAATACATTTTAACTGCACCAAAAGAGAGTTGTAGTTCAAAAGAGTTAGTCTTCACTTTCAGTTCTTACATTATCTTCAATCTCGTTCTTGCCATCGTCCCCAACAAACTATTTTCGCTCGGTCTATCCCTTCCATCTGATGATATCATTTATATCGGGGTTTTACATTAAAATCTCAAAAGCTACTGCTATTTTTATGATATTCCTTTCGCAAAAAAATTTAAATTACTTTCTAGAGAAGATAAGCTTCATTGCAACTATTCGTTAATCATACTTAAGTTCTTATGTGATTGTGAAATTTTTCGTCTATGATTTGCTTTTGACGCCTAGAGAACTAATAAAGTTCAGCAAATTTGATCTCTGCCTAAATACACTAAATTGACACAATCCTTGAGGTTGAGCCTGTTCAAATAGACAATGTGTTCTATTTTATAATGTTTTTTTTCCTAGAAGTCTTGCGAGGAGACATTTTCAATTGCCAAATTGGTGTCGAGTTCGGACTCTATGCGTAAGACAGGCCTCGATGAAATATGAAAAATCTCAACAGAGTAAATCTCCTTAGGTCTTCTGTCCAGAATTATAGGCATTTTACCGCAATTTTAGCCTATAGCATGGTATACGTCAACAAATTGAATGACAGTATTTCGAGCTGACGTCTTACCCGCAAACATATCTATTTGTGAGTTAAACGTCTTGAAAATTTCAGCTCAAAAGAATGTTCCTTTCTCGGAGATATGAATGTCCAAAAAAAAGAACATTCTAACATCTTTCATAGGATATGAACGACTTTTGGGACTTTGATATCTTGGGAAAGAAACATTCTATGGAGCTGAAATTTTAAGAACCTTTCACTCACAAATAGACCTGTTTTGTGGGCAAACTTTCAGCTCGAAATATGGTCATTCAATTTGTTGACATATACCGGACCATAAGCTAAAGTTGTAGCAAAATACCTGTACTTTTGCACACAAGATCTAAGGTGGTTTATTCTTTTGGAGTTTTTCATATCTCATCGGGTCTACCGTATGCACAGAGTTTGAAATCAAAATCAATTGGACAGTTGAAACGGATCCCTCGTCAGTAAGACTAAGAAAACCCTGAAAGGGTTCTCACCCAGGATCTATTGGTCAAGAGTTATGAGGTTTACTCAATTTTCTCCCTATCTGTAAATATTTGCTAAAAAATCAAATTACATGATTTCGGTCTGAAAGTTTCAACCAAAATTAATGTTCGTTTTTTGAGTTATCGAGTTTTCAAAAACTACCGTAGTCACTTGCCATCCATACACATGACTGAAAAATCGAGTTTGCTTAAAAATCCAATAATTCAAGAAAGGAACACTGATTTATGCTGGAACTTTTGGAATATTTTTGGGATTATGAAATGCAAATTTAGGCAAAATTTCAGACAGAAACCATGTAATTTGATTTTGTTTGTTATATTCATACCTATGGATGGGCTGAAAGTTCAATGAAACGGTCATAACTCTTGGCCAACAAATCATGGACTCGAATTTTTTTGGGTCTTCCTTAGTCTTACTGAGCCTTAGTCTTAGTTAAAAGATGGGATCAAATGGTATCCGACAGTTGAATATGTTCCCTCGTTTATCTCTTTCTGCTATCGATTCTATACCGAGCTGTTGTTATATAATTTTCTGATCTAACCATAGGCTTTATATCTGCTTTTTCATAATTTTAAAATTATCGATTTTCAGATTTTAACTAATTGTGATATTAAAGACTTATTTCTTTTATAAAAGAATCTTGCCTTCAAAGGATTATTATGGTTTGAGTAAATAAAATGACATGTCAAAAAACTATTAAAGTTTGTTCTATCATTGTACCGATTGATTTATGTAGATATTAAGTTCAAAGAAATATTTAGAAAATTCTATTATCAACAACGATAGTACATCAAATTATGTAAATAAATCTGAAAATAGGTATAATTGCAATAAATTAAATTTATTACTGATTTTCAATAAAATACCTAAACTATATCGTGATAATTTATAGATACTTGATTCATGCTTGGCGGATAAAGATAAAATGTTACACATAGTACGTAGAGAAGTCAGCGGAGTTTTGCAATCTCAATACATGAACAAAAGTGTTTTTTCAATTTCAACGTGTTTTATGTTCTCGTTATCTAATATGGAAACCATTTTGAATAGACTTTTAATTATATACTGAACAAGTTATTAAAGTATGTTGATAAACTACTCAATCGACAATAAACTTAACTATAGTATTTCACCTTGCGAAACAAAGATGAAGTGACATGTCTAACTTTGATATTGAATATCTCGAGAAAGATATGTTCGTTTTCATTGAAGTTTTCAGAATTATCTAATAACTACTAAATATGCCTACAGGCAAAAATTTTAATTTAAAAAGTTTCGCTTTGAATTTTTCGAAAATTCACTGCTTTCAGTAAAAATCTCATTTATACGACCATAAATCTGTACTAATAGGCTATGAATTCGAATCAGAAATGAAATTGCTCTGGATTTTTCATGACTAAAATTGATCTGAGTAGAAGTTAGACCGAACCGACCCGTTGATGGTGGACCAGTAGATCTGAAATCCGTACCGGTACTGGACTGACGAGTTATCATACTATTCCATTTATGGATAGTAATATCGGACACAGTCAATCTTCAACAAAGTTCCATGTCATATTCTTTATAAGAAAATATGAGCAAAATAATAAATAAGACACACTGATATTGATTAATCTATCAGCAGAGTTGCCAACACCAGTACTGATTGTATCTCTTGCCTGAACACTTGTAAATCTAGCTAAGTCTTATTAAGACCTAATCATAGCTATAATATGAATTTGAGCAGCGTTTTGCAATTAAATATATTGTTTCATTGTAGGTTTTATTTTAAATAAAATGACACAACGAGCTATTGATCTCTTTTCGACTATTGAAAAACCAGACAAAATCATATTCAGTATTTTATTCAATGCTTGTGCTCAGTTAAGAACCAAAGATGCATTGGATTTAGGCAAAAAAGTTTTTAATCAATTGCCTATTGCATGTCGTCAATCAAATGATCTTCTTTATTCGGTTTTGAATATGTTCATTAAATGTGATGATCTCAAAAGTGCTGAATCTCTGTTTAATCGAATAGATAGAGATTTGATTTCTTATGGATCAATGATGAAATTTTACAATATGAAGGAACAACCGGAACAAACTTTGATACTCTTCGAACAAATGAAACAAAATAAAATCAAACCGAATAAAATTATTTTTGTGTTACTCATCGATGCATGTTCAGTAATTGGTGATCTTTCATTATGTCAATCACTTATTTCACAGATACCACCAAGTTTTCTTACTGATCCTTGGATTCAAGTTGGATTAGTCGACATGTGGGTAAGATTAATATTAACATTAATCAATAATTGATTAGACATTGTTTTTCAATAGGGTAAAGTAGGTTCACCAGATAAGGCTAAAAAGGTCTTCGACATGATTGAACAGCCAAGTATTGTTTCCTTTTCATCTATGAGTAAGTTTTCTTATCTTATTGTTAAAGAGTCTTCCGGATTTGGTGACTTATTTTGATCAAGGATACGATAGAACACGATTCACTTATTTTTACTAGTTTTCTCCAGTTTACTGTATTTCTACAAAACTTCAGAATTTTTTTTTTCGTTTTGTTTTATGGTTGAATAGAACATTGGTTACTCTATTGAAGTGTACAATTTTAATTTGATTGATTTCGCATCTTGGATAAAAAATTAAACAAATTTCGAAAATTAGTCAAAAACAAAATTTGCTTCCAAGAAGTAGTGAAATTTTTCTCGAACAACTATAACCTAGTGAATAAATAAACATTTTTAGTTTTTATATAACTAAAAAGATTATTCATTTCTTTACCGAGTTCTATATTTTTCATTAGATTTATTCGTTATCTTAAGCTCCTTCCTCCCCGAGTCACAATAGATTTTTCATTTAGTAGAATGATCCGTTTTGGCTGAAAGGATACCACCGGATCGGATAAGTTCGTAAATTTATCGCCTCCTCTCCCGCTAGGCAACTATTTCAATAGGCTATAATGATAGAGCGGGGAATTCTGCACACTTTTCTGTTTATTCATCTTTTTTGTTGAATGCAAAAAGTATTTTCGAGAACTCGATAGTCTTGGATGGTTTATCATTTCTAGATGTTTTCAATTATAACTATGAAAACAATACTTTTTTCTTTTGTAAACTTAATATGAAAACTACTAGTATAAATCGGCGTAGCTTTTTATGCTCTTGAAAATAACATATAAACTATGTTTATTGATTAGTTTGTGTAGGGTCAAATACGCACAGTAGGTACAATTCTTATATGATAGACGAATTTTGATATTTTTGTATGATATTATTGTATTTAAAAACTAAATTGCAACTAGATATCGTAATGATAAAAACTGCGCTGGCTCACGCTCTATCAATCTATATTGCTTTCAGAAAAATCTATTCTGTTTAGAGGAACATTCTCATCGAAGCATTGCACGAAGATAGCTATTTTGGGAGTGTTATAAAAGTTAATGTTGACATTTTTCAATGGAATCTGGATCTCTAATTGTAATTTTAGAGCAAAATGAATATCATTTTCGGAATCAGTATTAAAAATTACGTAACACCATATACATTTCAACAAAAATAAATTTCCATGAAAAAATCGATGTGGTCCCCTCAGCAGTTTTTTTTTGTCCGATTTTCGCCCGTGATCCCCTCTACAGTCGGATTTGCCATAAAAAATTAGTTTTGCTGACATGTATATGGTATTACCTAATTTTTTATGCTGATTTCAAATATGATATTCATTTTGCGCTAAAATTGAAATTGGAGATCAAGATTCAATGGGAAAATGTCGAGATCAACTTTTATAATACTCCCAAAATAGTTACTTTCTTGCAATGTTTCAATGAGAATGTTCTTTAAAACAGAATAGATTTTTCTGAAAGCTATATAGATTGATAGCGTGTGAGTCAGCGCAGTTTTTTATCATTAAGATATCTAGTTGCAATTTAGTTTTCAAATAAAATAACAAGTTGGTGAAATTTAAGCACGGAAACTTCAGTACACGAAATGATCAGCACGAAGAACAATCACACGCTAAAAGAATTCACTGTGAAACTCAAAAATGTTCTACAGATGTGCGAAATCTTAAAAAGGATTCTTTCGTGACTATAGAGAATAGAATCGTCACTATCGAGATCACAAAGATTTTGGATTCATGTGCGAAATTTTGTTAGGATCAACTATGTATGTACCGAATCTAAACGTTCGAGCTCGCCCTTGAGCGCCGTCATTCTCACTTAATTAATAAAAGGTAGTGAAAGTAGACCAAAAGAAAAGATTTTCGAGTCGTTTGTAGTAGTTCTACGTTCAATGACATGAGTGATTCAAAAGCAGAAGAGCTACAAGCATCCGAAAAGAATGTCAACAATGTTTGAAAATACTCGAACACAAACTTGATCGAACCTTGAAATACTGTCATGATCGCTTACATGTTGAAGAAGCGCTTGAATGATCAGCTAAACACTCGACGCTGTCTGAAATGGTTAAATAGTTCACGTACCCGAATCGTAGGACGAAATTCGAATGTAAATTGTTTCGTCTTGACCACCAAAGTAGACGTCGATTCGTTGCATACCCTGAATAAACAGAGCGTGCAAAAAATTTACACCTGAGATTGAACCTTTAGGTTCTATACTATAGTTGATACGAAACCTCTTAATATTTTCTCTTTAACGTACTCGAAAAACCTTGAAAAGTTTTTGTACCAAATCTATAACGTTTGGGTTTGTGTGCGAACGTTTTCCAGTTTCGGTTGACCCTAACAAGATTTCGCACATGATTTAAAAAATCTTTGTGATCTCAATAATGATGATTCTATACCCTGTAGACTCGCAAAAGTCCTTTTTCAGATCTCATACAGCAGTAGAACTTTTTTGAGCTTCATAGTAAATTTTCTTAGAGCGCGATTGTACTTTGCGCTTAAATTTTCGAAACTTCAGATTTGTAACCTCTTTAAGTGTAATTTTTGAAAGCAAGTAACAGCTAATGTATACTAGCACCATGGATCATGCGCAAATTATAAAAACATTTATTTAATGCTGATGTATGTACAGAGATAGTCTTCCGAAAAATTAAACAATACACGAAAATCTTTTGCAAAACACACTAACTTAGTAAGATGAACATCTCGTCTGAAAGTCTGTTAAAATTTGATCTTTTGCTTTTGTTTTTTGAAAAGTTACATATATTCTGAGAGAGGAAACTTCGCTGCATTTTACTATTATAACAATTCAACTTCAAGTATTGTTCGAAAAAATGGATTTTCTGAGGGGTGCCTTTAGTGAAAATTTAATGGAATTCTAAAATTTATTTTTGTAGAGTTTTCAGTATTTTTTTCTCTAGTAAATTATAGTCAAGTAAACATTCAAGTCTTGTTCATTAATGCATGGTTAGGTCGTGTATTTATTTGTCTATCTATTAATAACTTTAGATTGATTTAGCTAGTCTTATAGATCAATGTTGGATTATAAGAATAAGATTAAAAGCCTATTTTTTCACTAGTACAAAAGTGCCTAAGAATCTCAATGCTATAATCAAATTTTCTCCTTAAATTTGAAACGATTTCATTCAATAGTTTCTACAACGTTAAGTTTGATGGATCACTTCTACCTAAAAACAATTTTTCAAAAAATTGATTTAGTCTCATTCAGATATAAGTACGCACAAGTTTTTTTTTACAGACTTTGTAGAAATACAGTAAACTGAAAAAAAACTAGTAAAAATAAGTGAATCATACTGTAGATGATGTTTTATTAGAGCATGATACGACATATCGAATAGTATATAAAATAATCAAGTGACATGAAAATTTTGATACGATTAGAATTTATATACTGATGATAATCCTTGAAAAATGCATATGCTACTCATAGATAGTGTCATCTATAAGATAAACTCATATAAATTTTATTTTTAAGTTCAATTTAATAGAGTTATAGATATTCTTCAATTTTCTATAATCACTAACTATCATCATTGCTTTGTTCATACTTAACCCTTTAAAACCGAGAGTGTATTTTTTTTTACAAAGGGAAGAATCTAATTTAAAAAATAGAGATTATAGACCTTCAGTATGCTCTCATACTATGGCTACAAATAATTATCTTGTTCTTCTAGAGTTATTCAATATTCCTTGAAAGATATATTCAACCTTATAGAAGAATCAAAAGAAAAGAAATTCAATCTGAAATTTTGCTCATAACTACGCTTTGTTATCTTTAAAAAGTGCTTAACATTTTCAGCCAAACCGGATAGTTACTTGTCGAAGTATTGCAGAAGAGAAAAAAAACGGGAAATCTTAGGGCATTCTAAGTATTATGAAGTCTATTCATGGATGAATTTTCAGATCGAAATTTCTTTCTTTTGATTCTTCTATATCCTATTCAATGAACACTTTTCAGATGTCATATCGTGACAAGAAATGAAGTCGAAATTTCTAGACTTATTTCATAAGATAGCTAGATGTTATGCTCATCAATATCAATCAGCAAAATCACAATTACACGCTGTGCCTATGAAAAACGAAGTTGTTAGAAGAAAAATGTACATTTACAACATTTTTTTCTAATTTGAAATAGCTAATTATCTAATTTACAAGTCAGTTAAGAGGGTCTTTCTCAAGACTATAGCCTATCATACCAAATTAATCTGAAAAACTATTCGTTGTTTAATGTGGAGTTATCTTAAAATTTGTATATCAGTTATCATAATGTCCTTTGGGAAGAACATTCGGATTTAAAGATGTTCTCTTTTCTTAGGTCTAGGTTATTTCGTGACTATATGATATTCCAGTGTGTTCAACTCCATATCATAGAATAAATGAATATCGATGTGAAACATTCTCAAAAAATGCACATTATTAAACTCTATATTTTTCACACATTACATCTTTCAGAATAGCGGCGACTCATTACTAACTTGCAAGATTATATCCTAAAATAGGCTGTTTTATTAGATGAACGAACCTCTATACGGACAATATATTAATAATAATCAATGATTCTATTAAAAAAATTATATAACAATAATCAGTACAGCATCCTTGATGAACTGATATGAATCCTTCATAAGAAGAAAAAACGTTTTGATCTTCAGACCCTTAGAGAAAGAGTACGGGTATAACAGTGATATCGAGAAATTTATTTTTAAAATAAACATGAAATAGTTATAGATTCTTCTAGAATTTCGGTCATAAATCAAACATGGATAATCGTTATATAAATTTGATGAAGACATTATAAAAATAATCGAGCTTTTTCGTGCAACACTATGATTATACTTTCTTTCAGACGTCTGAAGCCAGAATTTTTTTTTCCCATTTATAACAAGAAGAGATATATGGTGCGTTCGAAAAGCTGACGAACTGATTTTATTTAAAAAGATCAAGAAGCGCTGTTGCATTGAAAGTATGAATAAAGCAAGAACAATAACTAGATAGTAATTATAGAGAATTGAAGAACATCTATAACTCTATCGAATTGAACTTAAAAATAAAATCAACATAAGTTTATCTTACAAATCACAATGTCTATCACAAGAATCTAGAATCTAATCACGTGCACCAAACAACCGTTTGGAGAAAAATTAGGAGACTTATTAGTATCTATGAAAATTCTTTAAAAAATAATGGATACCCTGGAGATGATTATGTCACACTTTTATTATCTGTACAGGGTGGTAAATAATATTATTCCAGGGGGGTAACACTATGATCTCGAATCGGAGATATCATGAATTTTATACCAAATGAAAGCTCGTGAAAAATGGGGTTTAGTGATAGTAAATAGTAAGACTTTGAAGAACTTTCTTGTATTAATTTATCAAACGTTACGATTTTTATCGACATAAAATATTATAAAATCAGTTCATCGAAAAAGTTCGGGGCTAAACTATATGTTGTACAACTGTTTATTTTCTTATTATTTATTGAGTACAATCAATAATCAGTATGACGACCATTAGCACTCTTTACTGCACGAAGTCGAGATGGATACGAACATAAAAGAGCTTCAAACAATTCGGTATTTTCTTCCATGTCCGTCAAAACATCCGCAATGTGCTTTTTAAGTGTGTCTTCACTATATCGATTATGTCCAGTTTCCGATAACATTTTTTGTTCAACTTCATCTTTCATTATTGATCCAATATGTTCCGCCGCATTGAGATCGGGCGAATTACCAGGCCAAATATCATTGCCCCAAAACTCGATTTTGTTATCTCTAATCAGATGTTGAGTCATGTTTGCTCGCATACACGGTGCTTTATCGTGAACAAATATCACATTATCCAGATCAATTACGTTTTCCTCGTCGGTGAGGAATGGAAATACGTGTTGCATTAAAATAATGTCACGAAAATATTGACCGGTCCAAGATTCACCTTTGTCTTTAATCACCCAATGCATTTTTTTCGCGGTGAAAATGATAAAAATACCGATACACGCTTGGTTTTTAACCATTTCGCGATACCTTTCATCGTCTTCAATATCTTCAACACTTTTTGCCCAAATCCTATCATTTTGATAATTTGGTTTGCGAACTGTCCAAACATAAAATTCATCTGATGGTGCCAGATGAAGAAAATCTTCTTCAGTCCAATCTTTCAACCAATCACAGAGCCATAATCGATCTGATATATGAGTTTCAGATTTTAACGGTCTTGAAATAACATGAAAAGGCTTTAATCCTTCCCTACGACGGTAGTTATTAACTGTTTGTCGAGTAACATATTCTTTTTGTTTCTTTGCAATCTCTTTCGCCACGACAGAACCGCTTTTCCGTTGGTGATCACTTGCTTCACGAATAATGTCCTGAGCAGCTCTCGATAACTTGAGTTTAGGACCAGCATTCGAATAATCAGCAAAACATTGGTCACACGATTTTTCCCACCATTCTGTAACAAATCGAGTCGTACGGTGAATTTTGTCGGCAATCCATTGTCTATTTATAAATGTTGCACCAGCATCACGAGCTTCTCGGAAAGTAATGCATTTAATTCTATCAATCATTCTTTGTTGTTCGGTATCATAAGCGCCAGCCATTTGAAATAACAAACGAAAAAACACTGAGATTTCACTCGACTATAACTTTCAGACAGTCCGAGAACGAAAAAATTTTTCAAATAACTAGTATCACGTGGAGAGAAGAACAGAACGCCAAAGAACCATCTTATTGTGTGAGTCATAGTCATATATCATCATCGTTATCATTTCTCTTTCGTTTTCATAAAAAATGTTCGTTTTCAATGTCTCAAAATGTATGAAAAATGATTTTTAACGTGTTTTTGAAAGAAAATTTCGTTGTTTTTAAAAATTTGGTACACGAAAGTTCTTCAAAGTCTTACTATTTACTATCACTAAACCCCATTTTTCACGGGCTTTCATTTGGTATAAAATTCATGATATCTCCGATTCGAGATCATACTGTTACCCCCCTGGAATAATATTATTTACCACCCTGTATTTCAGGAGTTTAATAATTCATCTAATTTTAGTTTTGATCTTCTTGATTAGAGAATTTAATTCTTTACAAAATTGACGAGCATGTTTTTTCGAAGAGATTTTTCATGCAGCCATGTACTTTATGATATTCTAAATCTATTAAATTGTCTAGCTATGAATTCCTGTTTTCTATTGATAAAAGACGATTTGTGTGAGCGTGTGTTCATCAGCGCCTGTCCTTAAAGCTAAGTACTGTTTATCAACAGATAGGCAATTTTTCGCTCTACATGCTCCCGACTTTAATTATTCTGAATGTTTTGTTCAGTGGAAAAAAACAAGGTTGCAAACTAACATCTAAAAGTATTTTTGGTACATTATATCATTCCAAGCCACATGTGTTCTACAAAATTCTGATTCTCGTACCATCAGGAAAATGATTTTGTTGTTTCTCGAAAAGGTTTTTTATTCGTACCTCCTTCCAGATGGTTTTTCAAGAGAGAGGGGAGGGGGCAAAGTCACCGCTGGCACCCCCCCCCCCCCGCTTCCCATTGGTTACGCCTCTGCATCAGATACACAATTAAATTTTGAATCAAATAACCCACGCGTTTACTTAAATAGTTAAAGTACTTAAGAGTTACTTTGAATCAATCGTAAACAATACTCAGATTTATACGAAAACAACATTTTTTTCGGTATTTTGACTTTTTCTATTTCGAATTCTTTTCCCAAATATTTTCTTTAACATTTTGAAAGTCACACCGTAGGTAGATGTAGAATTTTGCGTAGAATATTGAAGCATATTTCAAAATTCATTACATAGATTTCTAAAAATTTTCTATAATTTTTTCGCTGTTTTTCAATTCTCCAGTTTTTACAATCGAGTATATGTTAATCTTGCTAAATTTTCTTTGACGCAAAAAATCTATTTGAGAAACAAATTCGACAGTTTTACAGAAATTTGAATCCTCTATTCACTGACATAAAAATCAAAATATAAAATAATTCTTAAATACTGCAAAGATAGAAAATAAAATTGAATCATTTATTGTGAAGAAACCGTTATTTCTTCTTCTTGAGAAAAAAATATTACAATTTTGAAAAACAGTCCTTAATTCGAATTTTATTTTGACAGAATTTTTGTTGTTTGAGGAGAAAATTTTTCATTTTAGCGACAGATACTGCAACTCTGATCGATGAGTGATAGATACATTTTTTCAAGGGTTTATAATCAGTATATGAATTTTGAGCACATCAAAATTTTCATACGACTTTATTTCTTATATACTATTCAACGTGTCATAACATTCTCTACAAATTCATATGCATCATATCCTTGGTTTAGATAGATCATAAAATCCGACAATAAATGTCCTTACTTTTATTTTTTATTTTAATTGATATTCTATTTCAGTTAATGCATATGGCCTCAATGGTATGGGTTTTGAAGCTGTTCAACTTTTTCAAAAAGTTCCAACAAATATTCTGGATGCTTGTATTTATGTATGTGTATTAAATGCTTGTTCTCATGCGGGACTTATCAATGAAGCTCGTCAAATCTTTGAGATGATTCCATTTAATCAAAGAGTAGAACAAATTTACACTACAATGGTGAAAAGTTTACATTTATTTTTAAATTTATATCCTAGTTTTATTTGTTTTTGGTTCAGGTTGATACATTTAATCGTTCATATCTTTTTGATGAAGCACAAAAATTTATTGATGAATTTGAAAAGTCTCATCGTCCTTCTATTCCAATGTATAGTACGTCATTTTTTCATTTTGGTTCTTATTCTTCTTTTCATTGACATTCAAACGTACCTTGATCTAGTGTCAATGCTTTCGTCTGCTCGAAATGAAAAGAATGGTTCATTAGTACAGACGATTTTTGATCGTATTGAATCAAAATTTTCCGACGTAGAAAGTTGTCTGACATCAGCTACAGTTCTTCTTGCTAATACACACGCATTAAGTGGTAACAAGTCGCTAGCATCAAACATTCGCATGAAATTAGATCAATCTGGTATGAAAAAAGTTGTTGGTATTTCTTGGACGGTCGTCGATGGAAAAGTTTTTGTGAGTTAAATCAATGTAAAAAGAATTATGTTATCAGTTTTGTTCTGTTTTATGATCAGAAATTTCGAGCTCATGATCGATCTCATCCATTCTCAACAGAAATTTATGCAGAATTAGATCGATTACGAATTGAGTTAATGAAATATGATTATAAACCTGATGATTCTTGGATAACAAGACCATTGAAAAATGATGAAACAGCTGAATCAGTATTGTGTGGACATAGCGAACGACTTGCTATTGCTTTTAATTTGATTCAACGGCCAACTCCAACTCGTATTCAGATTGTAAAAAATTTACGTGTTTGTGGCGATTGTCGTTAGTTTAAAAGTTTTGTCTTTTTATTTTTACTGTTTAATTTGTGTTTTCTTGTTGTCGTTATAGATGCAGCAACGAAGCTGATTGCTCAAATTCGTCAATGCTTAATAATCGTTCGCGATGCCAATCGTATCCATCATTTCTTTCCGAATGGAAAATGTTCTTGTCACGATCATTTTTAAAGAAAATATTTTTGGACGTTCAAAAGCATTTTCTTTCTTTTTTTCTAAGGTGACGGCAAATCGAAATTGGAGCAACAATTTTTTTTGCCAATATTTTTGCATGGTTAGATAGAGCTAACTCTTTACCAGGGTTGCCACATCGAAACTTCGAAAAACAGGAGTTTTTCGCAAAAAATCAGGAATTAATCAGGACACTTTTATCGAAATCATGAAATGATATAGCGGTTGTGTTTGGAAGAAAACTGAAATTTTTGTTAAAATAAGTACTCATTATTATCTGCTTTCAAGTTAGTAATGACAAAATTTTCCTTCAAATGATATATATCACTACAAAGATAATCACATATATTGTTTCTTACTAATCATTTCACAATCCACAAATATACAAACAAAAATAGAAAATAAAGTTTAGTTAAAAACTGATATGGATCAACATGAATGAACATATTTGAAAAATAAATTATCACCAAAGTCCTTCGTGGCACTTTTGCAATACGACTATATTTTTCTGATGAGCGAATTTTTTTCAAAAGATCTGGACTATTCGAAAGATAACAAGTAGCACGACGCAAACGTCGCTAAACCCTTTACTGAAAAGATTATACTGTGATGAAGATCAACCAAAATGATGAATGTCGAAGTTTTGACTTCTATCGACCTTTTTATGGAACTCATGTATATTTTCGAAGAAAATAGGGAGTGTAAGTTTTAAGGCGAGATTTTCTGCTTCTCCAGCCTCCCCTCCCCCATCATAGACATTAGAACCAAGGAAACGAATTTAAACAATAATTTTCCGTATTTTATCTTAGTTTATTGAGATTAAAGGATATACGTGAGTTTCACATTTTGATGTCAAAGAAGTTATGCTAACAAGCTTTTTAATTTAAATCTATATTTAATCTCACCACTAATTCCAACGATTTCGATTGAGCTGATCCGATCATGACTCACTACAGTAGAAATCTCTGATATATTATATATGCAGATTCATTTTCTCTCTATATACTTTTTTCTTTAATTTTGATTGGCATATTTTATTCTTATTATTTATCTCTATATTCTTTCATACGTTTGTAAAGTTTATTCGTTAATTTTTTTTTATATATTTCATTTACACACTTACATTTTTGATCCCGAAAATTAAGCATAGTAGATCCCGGTTATTAATTTTCGCAAAAAAAATGCACAAATGATACTGCTTTATCTAATAATTTTTAATTTGTGATAGAATAACACAAGTGATTCCGAAAAAGATGTTTTCTGGAATAACATAATTGATGTCGGAATATTAGCAAGTTATGGTACCGTTTTTCAATCTGAGGGTCATTGAGTACCTATACGGTCTTATAGTAGTTAAGTGCACGCTTTTATCATAATGACTTTTCGGCTTTCTCTTTGGTTCATGGTAACGGGTGTGGGTGTGCGTGTGCGTGTTGGTGGGTAAGGGTGTGGGTGTCGGTGTAGATGTTGCTATGAGGTGTGAGTGTGGCTGAGAGTGACGTGGATATCCACATCCCAGAATCACAACTTACAATCCACACTCACAGTGGCACTCACACGCACACGCACATCCACACCAATACCCACACCCCACACCCACACCGACACCCAAGATTTCATTAAGTATTGATGATCAACCGTATTGTGTCCTCGTCAATAATACATTATTGATCAATTACACACTTCATAACCACCGTCAAGCCCAATTAACTATTACCTTACGTGTAATTGATACTATGGGCCTTCTATCAACAGATGGGTTTGTAAAAGCTTATGCTATAGCTGCAATAAGTAATGTAAGCGATACAATTGCCATGGATGCGATAAACATTCCAGATATGAATTCAAATTCGACTGTAATCACCAACTCAATTGTGTTTAGTATTGCTGCACTTGATTACAAATATGATCAAAATGCACCAGTATACATAAAGCGAGACGATATTCATCTTACCAATCAAACTGATTATCAAAAACCAACAGTTACACTACCACCACCATTAGATAACTTTGCCATGACTTTGGGATCATCAATAATACATTTCATTTTATACATGTTGACCTTCTTTGTAATGCTTCATTAACAATTTTAGATAAACTTTATGTTTTGACAATAAATATGACTTTGGAAGGGGATAAAAGGCTAATTCTTTTTTTGCTGGATAGAGTGTCGTTTTTACCGGGTGTGGGTGTATGGGTGTGAGTGTAGGTGTGGAGTGTTGGTGTGGGTGAGTGTGAGTGTGGGGTGCGGGTTGGTGTGGGGGCTGAGTCTCAGCGTGAGGTGTGGATGTAGGGTTTGGGTGTGGATAGGTGTGAATGCGGATCTAGGTCTATGTTTTCTTCATGCCATTCACATCCGCCCACATCCACACCCCACACCCACGCCCATACCCACACACACCCACAGCCTCTCCCTGGTCCCCCACAGGTCAGTTTTGGACAGAAAAAAATTTTTGCTAAAAAAGACACCTGAAGGTGCAGTTTTTGATACTGATTCCGAATATCATATCTATTTTACTTTAAAATTGTATCTTGATAATGAAAACCGCTAAAAATATACATGTTTTTATTGAAAAACCATAAAAATCGTCAAAAATTCGTAGGTGTAAGCCCTGTTTAGCACCAAGCGGAAACTTTGTTTTTAAACATTTTATTATCATTTTGTAGAGAAAGAAAAGCTGCACAACATATGTAAAATCCAGCGTGGAGGTCTCGTGATTCTGAAGCACAGCAAGAGATACAGCGTTGAAGTTGGACTGACTAAAAGGACCCCCTTGACTCTTCTTTGCTCTATACAACGTGAATTGCTAGGCATTATATTGCATGATTATAGTTTATTTTGTTCAGCTTTTAATTCTATCTTCTCATATATACGATGAAAAATTGTAGTGATTTCTTGAGACGCAAGCTGGCATATCTTTTATAGAGTAATTTTTCTCGTTTTTCTCCAAAAAGGTACGATAGTGCTAAAGTTGGTATTGACTAACTTTCGAAAGGAAGAGTATTAAAACCTAAAATTTTGAGGTTGGTGGTTTCAGACATTGATGCTTTGAAAGAGCAAAAAAAATCAAAAAAAAAAATTTTTGTCGAGTGCTTCATATATAGTTACGATGCTTAATGGGCTGTGGACCCTCTCATAAGACCCCTAGTCCAGACATAGCTTAAATCCGGTACATATCCACTCACTATGAACATCCACTCATACATACATTCCTACCCCACTTACACCCATATCCATACTCTCTTATTAAGATCTGGGTCAGAGTGGGTCAGTGCGGGTGAGAGCAGGTGAGAATGAGGTGAAAGTGGGTGAGAGCAGGTGAGAGTGAACCCATAAAAACGATATGTAATTCTTTTTTCTAATATTTATTGAAGAAAAGGGGTTGGAGTGTGGTCTCATGAGTGAGGACTTTTATGCTCTATACATCGATACTATCTTCGAATGAAACGGCGCTCAGAGTGGGTGAGAGCGTATTTTACTAATACCCCGGCCCGAATATTTTTCGAAATTTCTTTTTCATAATAATACTAAAAAACAATGCGCAATTTTCCAAATTATCGTATTTTTTGTCATATTTCAGAGATTGATTCTTCATAAATATGTTTTAAAACAATTTGAGGTAAATCTAAATACAGAATTTTGTAGAGCAAGTCTTGTTCTATCTTTTGAGGTATAATTCAATTCGATATGATTAACTCTTAGAAAAAGAATCATCCCTTACTGAGAATAAAAAAAAATCATAGTCATTATTTTTACAGCTTGATATAGATCCTTTCAAAGTCTCTTTCAGATCTATTCAAGAATCATTCCTAGAAGGCTAAAAATCTGGATTTCTAATTATCTTTACATGCTCTTTCATTTACAATGATCAACAAACATATGTTATAATTTTTTGTTTAACGACAAACTATGAAAATGTTCAATTCAGTGATGGATCCTCTCCAAGATAGGTTAAACGGATGATAAAGAATCATTTTGTATAAGAAATTCTTTATTAAAACATTCTGTTGGAAGAAGACAATATTTTCAGTTTCACTACGAAAATTAAAAATACTTCTAAACTTTAACTTCTCCTTCGAAACACATAATAGATAGAGAATAATATATTTCATTGAAAGTATTTAAATGATCGTCAATAACCACTGGTTAAATATAGAATTGTTTGACATTGAAATTCTTGAATATATATGTTGTTTTTTTTTTCTTAAAAATTTCTAATGACAAAAAAAACCTTTTAAAGAAAGTTTTAATGAGTGATAAAAATAATTAATATGGTGATAGTAATAATTCGTCACAAATATATATGAGTCCAAAAAAATGTTCAATCATTGATGACATCTTTGATCCTTATCAATACGAACACAATTAATGAATAACACTATTAATTCTCAAGAAAATCCATTGTTTAATCACTAATTTATTTCAAGTAATCTTGAAAATAATTTAAATAGTCGAATAAAGTTTGTTCATTCATTTATTAAATAGATAATAAAATATGAATTTGTATAAAATAAAAGTTGTATACATCATGAATCACTTAAAGATAATAGTGATGAAGATATAAATCGATGAAATGTTTATCAGAAATATGGCTATCCAATAAATAATGAATACGTTTTATGTGAGACTTTTAAACGATATATTGAAATACAGATAATAGAAATAATAAAACATATCAACATCTATATATTATTCTAATTGTTATTATTATTATTAATTGATTTTTCGCTTTAACAGCATTAGCAATTAATATTTGTTTATTTGTTAGAATATCAAACATATAATCATATATTAGATAGACATATATCAAGTTTTACTTTTTCTAAATTTAAAAAAAAATATCATCTTAGATTTTTATCTTGTGTTTTTACATGAATTTAATAATTAATTAAAATATTTTATCACAAAACAATCAAAACAATTTATCAAAAATTTCGATTTATTATTTGAATTATTTAAATAAATACGTTGACAACATTGATATTATGAAAACATTATACTTTCCAAAAATCAATTTATCTATATATGAATTAATTCATAATTTCTATTTTATTTATTTCTCCCTCAACGTTTTCTATTTCAGATATATAGTTTAAATGAAATCGATCAATATTATCTACTCATTTCTATTATTAGATAATCATTCGATTATTTATAAATCATTGTTCACTATTAAATAAGTTTATTTAAAGCAGATAGATATATGTTTATATATAAAAAAAAAGAACATATCATGATTTCATGTTAATCTTTGATCAGGTTGAAAGAATATTTGAAAGCAGAAATTACAATGTACATGATTGTTTGAACAAAAAAAAATAGTACGTAGATATATAGATTAACACGAGAAAGAACAACTATCATGATACAATAAAACATAATAAATTAATTTTTAATCGTTTTTCTTTCTTTTTGTTGTTGGTTGATTCTGTCTCGTGTGTTTCTCTAGAAAGAACATGACATAAATAATCTATTATAATAATTGTTTTTTTTTGAACTTACTATTAATCAGTGCATTGATATTTTCTTCACTAATATTGTTTAATAAATCTACATGTTCGGAATTATCAAATACTATAAATAAAAATCTAGATAATGCATATTCTAATAGAGTAAAGTTTTCGTACTTCTTGCGTCTAATTTATCTCTCATGGATTTCCGAACTTTTTCCAATTCGTGATAAATTGTAGATTTCCTTTAAAGTGAACATTATACTTCAAATAAATGTACTCTCAAAACAAATTTTACATACCATTTTATGATCAATAAATCGTCACTCATTGCTTGTCTCGTTTCCAAAAAAGTGATATCAGTCAACACGTCTAAAAAGACATAGTTATAAGCAATAATAACCTTAACCGTAATTTACCATTCCATTTGTTCATATCAAATAAAATTTTTGCACGTCTTGAATAATATTGTACACGTTCATTATCATCAATAACAGTTTCAATTAACTTGTCCAACATCTAAAGATTAGAAAAAAAAACAATCTTCATTGTTGACATGTATTATCTCACTTTTAATAGATCATTTTGTTTATCTCGTGAATTTTGAACAGTTGTAGATGATGCCATTTGATTGAAATCCAGTTGTTCAGATTTGATGTTGACCATTTTGTATATATCATAAGGCTTATTTACGAACGTTGACATAACACTTGCTGAAAAGATTTTATTTTGATCAGTGATGTGTTTATTCACTCTTTAAATATATGTATGTAAATAAAGAATTGAAGAAAAAAAGAAAGATATTTGACAAATCAGACGAATTATATAATTGATCGATGTTTAAAATAGGTTAGATATTCGTGTTTATATGACATCTATGCAAGTTATTATAATCAAGACAATGACAATCAATTTATAATTCTTTATTTATTGAGTGGTATATACGTTGTTGTCTCTTATTACCCAATTATACCATTGTTTCATTTAATCTATCACATTAATTGTAATGAAAATAGCAACAAACATCTTGCACTTTTCAAAGAATTCATCGATAAATTTAAAAGTGAGAGTCTAATAGCACTATGTTGACGATAGTATTAAAATAAAATTATAAGTTATATCTCAATATAGCTCGTAATGAATTTTGTTATATTATTATTTCGTTAAAAGAAATTAAATTTTGATTACTTTTCGTTTTGATTCATATCAAAAGTTTTGGGCTCAGTTTAATTTAACATCTTTCTTATGAAATATATTAATGATTGTTTTTTTTTGAAAGATTAGCCAATTCTAATATTATTACTATTATGAAACAGATTTGTTATTTAAACCTTCATTTTTCATCTGTTATGTGAACAATGCAAAATTGCTTGTCAATACATTTATGCTTAGTAGACTTTACTTGATGTGATAAATACTGAAATAACATATCCAAGTATATTGATTCTTATATTATCTTCTTGTAAGATTTTTATACAATCTTGTATGAATCATATCAGATTTTACATAACCTCCGAATACAGTTTACAGTTGAATTTCTTGCTCTATTCATCCGCCACTCATCTTCGTCATTACTCATTCACATCTTCTTTCGTCTATCCTTTCTTTGGAACATGAGATAAAAATCATATAATTATTTAAATTCATATTTATCCAGGATCATCTTATTCAGTTAATCCAACTAGAAAGAAAAATTATATTTTATGTAAAAATTCATATTTATGTTTTCATGATTTTTCTCATATCTATCTAAATAAAAAAAAATAATTTTTTCTAGTAAAACTACACTTACCTTTTGATGAACTTGTTCACATTTATCTAAATTAAAATTTAACCAATCATATATTTAAACAATATTTACTCTTTACTAAATTGTTAATTTTTGATCTAAAGAAAAAAATTACTTATATAAGTATGTGATACTTCCTGTTGATTGTGTGTTTCTAAACAAGCTTCATTTGTCAAATTATTTTCATGAACTGTGTTATGTCCATACAGATTTATTTTTGCATTCTATAAGATATAATAAAAGCTATAGCGTTTGAATTAAATATACTTAGCAAGTTAAATATTTTTGAATACAGAAAATTATCTTTATAAAAACTACTAGCATATAGAGTATATTAAATTATAACCGTATGAGATTTTCTGTACGATCTTGCTAGATTCTAATGATGAAGTTTTACAAGAATCATCTAGCAAGAATAGCGAAAAGTTTATTGTTGCATCTTTTTGTAAGAAACATTCAATACTTGCTGCTGTTGATGTTGAGATAATCTTAAATAATCATTAGCATTATAATCAACACTATCGTCTCGATGACCAACATGGTAATTATCACCACGAGTGTGTGAGTATGTGAGTACTTTTATTATCAGCAATCACACCCATATTCACATCTTACAACTCTTCCCCAACTTCTGTAGACATGACATGACGTTCTCAATCATCACACAAAAGTGTATAAAAAATGTTGTTTTTTATCATTGCTAAATGTATCTTATCGAAATTCTTCATGTACATAGAATTTGTGATGCATCTCTTTTAGGAAATATTTCAACATAAAAAATAAATTTACAAGTGTGTATATTCGTACATTAATAACACATATCATTTTGCTCTTCTCTAAAAAAATCGACTTTCGATAATGAAAATGTCGATATTGCAATTTATTTTCTATAAGCATTCTCTTTTTGTACATGTTCACATGAGTGGTAATCAATAAATTAGTTTAAGAAAAACGAACTATGACGAGAAATTTGTTTTCCTTTTCGAATTGTTTTATTCTATTTAAATTGGTTTTTTTAATAGCAAATATTAGATCAAGCTGAAAAGTTTGTCACATTATTTATTTTTCTACTCTGTCTAACCTATCATTAGTGAACGTAGCAAAACATAAGAATTTCTTTCATTAAATTAATTAGAAGAACAAGGAAAAAATGCAAACATGGTATTCACATTTCATTTATTTGAACATGGTTTTTCTCCAGATGAACCACTATTAAATAAATGATCTGAAATATTCGATATTGCTCTTGGTTTGCATATACAAGTTGAAGGATTGGAACATGAAAAACTATTTTCATTTGAAATGAAATAAACCTAATATATAAATGTGTTAAAAATTTCTATCGGATAAATGTTTCATGAAATATAACGTTCACATTTATCTTTTTTATTTTCAAGATTCACTTCTAATCTATGTCTATATTACATTGCATGAATTTTCATTCATTTGGTTTTTGTTTTTTAATATTTCTGACCAATTTTTCCGAGTTAAGTTATTTTTTAATAAACATTTTCTTAATTTTTTGATATATTTTGTACGAATAAAAATTTATAAAGAAGATTGCATGAGTCATCTGTAAAAAGATCGAAATTTTTTGAGAATTTATCTGTCTATATGTGAGTCCATAGCCTATAGTAGAGAGTTTCCGATCATGACAGAAAAATATGGATCTGTTGTTGCGTAGTTGTCTGAGAACAACAAAAGAAAAAGAATGTTGTTCAAGAAATACAGAGAAAAAATGATTTTAAAATGTTATTTATGAATGAGCGTAGTTTATGGATGATCTAAAACTGTTTTAAAATGAGTCAATTAATAGTCTTTTGTATGAAAGCGACTCGATTTTAGAAAATAAATTATTTAATCAATGACTGACACAAATTTTCCTTATCGAAATCTTTCATTTATTCATTCATTTATAAATCTAATCAGTAAATCGTATTTATTTCTCTGGTTAAAGTTCACTTTTATTGAGATTTTCTTTAACAAATATCAGTGATTAAAGAACATATTTCGAATAATTTTTATGAAATATTTTCATAAAATATGTAAAGATAGAAATGTTTTGTTTTTAAACAGTGAAAAGAATTAGTGAAAGTACTGCTCAACTTTTATGATACTCGAATACAGTTTTGCTATATATCATAAATAGATTCGATTTGCTTTGATATTATCAATTTATTAATTTGTGAATAAAGATTTCATTTATGTTAAATTTGAATAGATGTATTAATAAAACATGAAAATATTATTGCTGCAACGACTGGTCAAAAAGAATATGTTTTTTCAGTGGTTGATTTCGATAATTACATATGTATACATCGCTTATTTATCACTAGCTCATATTTTTGAACTTTGTTGTAATTTGTTTGAGATTTAATTTGAAAAGAAAAAAGTTCTTTTTTTCTAAATATGAATACAAATTCTAATATTTTTTATGGATATTAAATGTGATTATTTATCATCTCAAACATTAACTGGTCAATGAAGAGCTGTGAAACGTGATCGAAAGAGAAATCTACAAGTTTTTCATTCGCATTTAATGACTTATGTACTTGCAAAAATTCAATTCGTTTTATTTAGATTTGAATAAATATTTGTTCTCTTAGACAATGCTTGATCGTATCCATATAACAGTTAATGAAAAAACATCAATCAATTAAATTTTGTTCAATAACAATCATTTTATTTCACATATTAAACTTACTCTTGAAAGTGCACATCTTGATAACTTTGGAAGTGTGGATGTGGGTGATGCTTTTAATTAATTTCACATCGAGATCCTTACTAAAACATGTGCTGATGGAACTTTTGTTGATCGAAAACATTTCTTTTTTATTTTAATTCGATTTTTAATGATTTTGTTTTTCTAAAAAAAAAGACTTTCATATAAGAGCTGATCATTGTCAGATATCCACTTTTTTCATGTGAAACCTGTTTAGTTAATTGAGATGAAGGTCAATATAAAAATGCAGATAAACCAAATCCACCTAGAGAAATTCTTATCGGAGGAAAAGTTGTTGTCGATGGATACTTTGATGAAGCAATGAAAAAAAGAAAATGTAAATTTCAAAGAAATTAACAGAACAAAATATTTTTCTACACTAGATGTGGGAGAAGTTTTTCATGATGGAACACTTTAAATTATTGATTAGAACAACATTTTTCTTCTTGTTTTTTATACAAAAAAAAAAGAATTCGAAATTTAGATCGAAAGAAAGAGTTGGTTAAGTTGCATGGTGGAAAATATGTTTAATTAGCGAAAGTGGAGATGGCAATAAGGTAAGTATGCTTATTGAAGATTGTTTTTTATGTGCATCAGCTTCATCTCAATATATTGTTGCTCTTACTTGTCCAAACACAAAACAGATATCTTTGAATTTCAATAAAATCATATCTTCTTCTTTTCTTTATATGTTAAATTAGCTACGATAAAGTTCGTCATCTTTTGAATCAATCCTGTGTTTTACGCTGTTTTGACCTTTAATGTTACTTCTTTGGTCGAACTGCCAACTTAGAAAATCTATTATAAGAAAAGACTATTTTTTTTTGATGATAGACAATCAGAAAAAGAGCGTCAAATTAGAATAGTTGTCATAGATATTAGGAAAAATGATCCACGAAATTTTGAATTTTTTTAAAATGGATTAAACTTTTACTTAATTTATTTTTAAAAGAGAGTTTTGGTGAAAAATATTTTGATGAAAAAAAATGTCAAAAATTAGTTAATGATGATGAATTTATTGAACTTATTAAAAATTTCAAGATATTTGTAGAATAAATCGAATTGAAAGATTTGAAACTTCTTACCGAATTTGAACAGTGACAGAAGCATGAACCTCTGGAACTGATCTTCTTACTGATACAATCAAATTAAATTGAAAAACTATTCAACAAAAATATAAAGATAATACTGAAGATCTTTATGAAAACAATAAACCAAAACAACATTCTGCAAGAAGCTCAGAATCAAATACAACTGACGAAAAAACTCAAATGATAAACCAAAAGATATAATTTCAAATGAGGGTGTGGGTGTCGGGTGGTTGGGTGTGGGTGTGGGTGTTATTCTTTTGTATTCGACCTAATACCCACCCACACCCCACACCCACACTCACACCCCACACCACCCACACCCACACCCATCCCACACCCACAACCACCCCACACCCATACCCCTCACCCCCCCCCCCACCCCCACCCCCCCCCACCCACACCCACCCCCACACCCACACCCACACCCACACCCACACCCACCCACACCCACACCCTATAATGCTTTATTTTTCTGTGATATTTGATCGTTGTTCAACTAGTAGCAGAAATAATAAATTTTTGATAAGAGCTGTTGTTTTATGACACGTGACGATCATATTAACGCCTATTTCGAAAGAAAAGCATAGTCGAATAAACATTTTTGTATTAATTTTTGATAGAGGAATGATAAAAAGCTGCATTTTTCATTGTTCGAAGAAAGAAGTGAAGAAGCATTGAATTGTATGTCACAGACATTTTTGCGTTGATTTCTAAAAAAAATAAGTCTAACTTATGAGATACTTACAGCGAATATTGAATTGTTAAGTATGTATTTCGAGCTTTAATGGAAGATCTATAACACTGCACAAGGCTAACATGTTTAGAATTCATGGTTCAAGAGGTATAGGTATTCTAGTCGAAACGAGAACATGATTTTTCTAGCAATTCTTATGACAAGAAATTCGTTTTGCTTGTTTCATTTTTGATGTAATGTAATAGAAAAACTTTTGGTAGTGATCGTAATCTGTAGAAGATGTAACTGTACACTTGATTGATGTCCTTGTTGATTTACCACTTTCTTTTCTGTCACAACAATTCAATATACAAGCATTATTGATACAAGATTCCTCATTGTTCTGTTTCTTCTCCACTAGCGAAAAGAAAAAAGCAATATTTTCGAAAAAGACATTTTCTTTCCAGTTTCGCATATCAGCGAGACTCTCTCAACTTTTTTAAATGAAAGCAGGTTAACAAAGAAAAGCGAATTTCACAAATTATTAATCAGTTCGACAAACTCTATCAAATAATATAAGAAATAAAATTTTCAGAAATTCTGATCGAATTTACATAGTTTACACGTGATGCATCATAAGAGTGCGAATGAATAGACAATAATTGCATGAATATGTTTATTCTTTAAAATTCATGAGGGCAAAGAAAACCGAGTAGACAAGGCATTTTATTTTCTTCTGCTGCTGGATGTTGACCGATCATGCTGATGCTAAACAAAAATGAAAAAAGTTAGTCATTTATCGAGAGAAAGAGCTCACCACTAGCAGCACAAGAACTCTTATCGAATGTATACATTTGAACTCGTCCAAAAGCAAGGGGTACGTATAAATTACCATAAATGTCCGTGGTGATATCGGTTGGATTGACAATGTCATTTAAAGCAAGAATAGTGATTTTTCCATCAGATCCGACACGTACAATGCGGTGATTCCATGCATCAGCTATGTAGACATCCTCACCCGATGGATCGACATGAATACCTAGTGGATTATTGAGTTGAGTCGTTGCATTGCCTATACTGTGTCCACCAGCAATCACAATTCCCTGCGGCGTGGTTCCATTCATAACAGAAGGCCATTTAACGACACGATCGAATCCTGATGAATAAACAGTACCACTTGCATCCACTGCCACACCTTCGACTAAGTGGAAAAGAAACACGTAGTGTAGAAGCGACAATATTATTACCAACTTACTATCTCGAACACGACTAGCAACGACTTGTCCTTGTCCTCTACCATTGTTTTGAATGACATACTTGACAACAGAACCTTCATATTGGTATCCCACATACAAATGTTCTTCTGTTTCATCAAGGACAACACCCGCGATCAATCTTTTAGAACTGACAAAGAGGGTTTCACCCACGTCGGCTGCTCTCTTCCATCGTGGCAGTCGACCATGCTCGTTGTATCCATCAGTAATGTACATCGTGCCTTCGTTATCGACAGCAATGTTCGTCGGCCTATCAAGTTGATCTGCCGCAGATCCTTGACCATGTCCACCGGCTGCAACAATTCCGTTCGTCGCACCCTTTTGCCACTTGACCACTCGGTCATTTCCTCGATCGACGACAAAGAAAGCACCATCAGAATCAAGAACTAGTCCATAGGGGCCATCAAGTTGATTCGTATTATTTCCTTCACTATTACTGCCTACCACTATTTTCGCTTCTCGTGACCAGATTGCTGTGGCACAAGGCAGACCCACACGATTGAGCGTGATGGCAATATGTCTTTTTTTGAAATAATTGTGAGAGATTTTCTTCATGATCACAAAAGGGTACTTTTGTGCTCAAGAAGTGGATTAGCAATGCCTTACCCGTAGGTAATGGCGGACAAATCTTTTCCGTGATCAGAATCGCAGGATAGCAGACTGGCCAAAGATGACAATGAACGTGTTGAACACAGATCGTATTGGATTGTGAACATGTTCGATTGTCAGCTTCACAAGGAGCTAAATCAGCACAAGCTGGAGCCAAAAGAAAGGCACAACTGCCGTTTTGAGTTCCGTCAGCAGACGGAAGATAGCCGCATTGATTGTTAGATGAACACTTATCATAGGCGCTGAGGTTGGCTGAACATGTATGGATCGCCAGAAGAAGGAACACGAACAACATGAAGAAATATGTTTTACCGATTTTTCCAAGAATACAAATGATTTTATACGTTTCGTGTATGACTGTTTGTGAGTGCGTATTAATGTGTTATCATCGTTTTGTTAAATTTTTCTTATCAATGAGAGAGAATGACACGTGCTCTTACTAAAATCGAGTTTGTTTGGCAACGTTAGAAAAAAAACTTGACTTCAATATGGTTTTTTTTTGGTCGAACATTTTTTATATAGAATTTAATCGGGTAAAAGGACAGCTACTCGTAATTTATACCAACAATACAGGTATCTAACATTGCAAAATCATATCAAAGTTCCGTTTATAAACAGAATCTTTGACTTAGCCAGAGGAAAAGTATAACGTCAACAAAGATCGTAAATTGAACTCCGCCAACACAAACACCATAGACCTCTATTATATTCCACTCAAACAAATCAACTTATCTTCATTAACAACCATAGAAATAAATACAGAAATATATAGTGACACTCAATTGAATTAGATAAACAATTAAACTGGGATGTGAGGTATGGGTGTGGATGTGAGTGGGTGTGGGTGTGGGTGTAGGTGTGGGGTGTGGGTGGGTGTAGGGTGTGGGGTGTGGGGTGTGTGGGTGTGGGTGTGGGTGTAGGTGTGGGGTGTGTGGTTGTGGGTGTGGGTGTAGGTGTGGGGTGTGGGTGGGTGTGGGGTGTGGGTGGGTGTGGGGTGTGTGGGTGTGGATGTGGGTATGGGTTTGGATATGAACGTGAGAGAAGACACCCACACCCACACATACAAACCACACCTACACCCACACCCAGAAACCACACGCACACGCACACGCACACGCACACCCACACCCCCCCCACCAACACTCACACACTCACACCCACGCCCACACAGCCACACCCACGCCCACACCCACGCACCCACACCCACAGCTTTGTTTCAAATAAAATTTTCCCGCTGGTCCTCCATGGGTCAATTTTGGGTAAGAAACATTTTTCACTAAAATATGTACGGATAGATGCAGTTTTTCATGCCGATTCTGAATATCCTATTTATTTTAATTTATCATTAGATCATACCAATGCAAACCGCTTAAAATGTTCATATTCTATTGAAAAATCAGAAAAAACCGCGAAAAAATCGAAGGTATAAGCCCTTTTTTGCACATGAAGCCTAATTTTTTTTTGAAATATTTTTTTACCATTTTGTAGAGAATAAAAAGTTGCACAACATATATAAAATTCAGTCTGGGCACTCTTGATTCTGAAACACAGCAGGAGATACACTGTTTTATTTAGACTGATCAAAATGACTCCCTTTGATTCATTTTAGCTTTATAAATCTAGAATTGTTAGAAATCATATTATATCAAAATAGCTTATTTTGTTTAGCTTTTAATTCTCTATTTTCTTATGTATATCGTGAAAACTTTCAATAATCTGTTGAAATATAAGCTGGTACATCTTTTATAGCATATTTTTTCTTTTTCTCGAAAAAGGTGTGACAGTGCTAAAAGTCGGTACTGACTAACTTTTCATAAGAAGGGAATTAGAACCTACAATTTTAGGGTTAGTAGTTTTAGACATGGAAGTTTTGAATGAGCAAAACAAAAATCGAAAAAAAAATTTTTATCGAATGCCTCATATATTCAATGTCCTCCTGGACGCTCTCTGAATGTATTAACACTTACAAATTGACCCAGCGAATAGTGATAATTACAACCTACCTGATGATCAATCCTTATGCAAGGTTCTAAACGCGTTATCGAGTGTCTTAATCTTTTCCAAGAAACTCATCTTCATGATCCCGACTTGATCGTTTTATTGAACTTTCATGAAAGACAGTTTAGATGTTAATTTCAATACTAATGAAAAAAAATCAATTTCATCCAATTTTGACCTTCTATAGTGGCATTTCCAAGAGGTCTACCGGCAAAGTTCCGCCAGTTATATTGAATTTGAAGTCGTAGCAGTGATGGTGGTTTGGTTTTTCTCAAAGCAATCGAAAAGTTGAGTCATGATGTTCACCAAAGCATTTCCAGTTTCCATTGAGTGAGAAGCATTCGTCGAAAGATCTCCAGTTGATAATAAAATAGCTCCTAAACTTCTTTTCTCATTAGCCAACATTAAATTTGTGGTACCAATCAACGATCCCTGATGTCCAATTAGATGCCGTTTACCTATAGTTATCCAGTTCCATATGAGTCCATATTCAGAGGGTGATCCAGTCGCGTAACTTTCCTGTGGAGAAATGTAGATCATTTGCTCTACTGATGACGGATTGCGTAGCAGAGTAGCAAAATTTTTCAGGAATGCTTGAAGAAAGAGGCTCAGACCGCGAGCCGACATGCGTGCATAACCAGAAGCGTACAAGCTTGAACCGTGAAAAGGAATGTAAATCCATCGAGAGTTTCCTACCTAATAAACAAAAATTGCTAATAGACTTTTCTATGGCGTGCGAGAGAAAAAGTATTGCTCATCAAATGATCGCTTCAGAACTTACTTGAATAGCATTTAGATGCTGTAAAAAAACATCGAGTCCTGCAGATATTGATTCATTGTACAAATAGTTACGAACAAGATACTTTTGATCAAAATTGCTCAATCGATAACCGCCCATTTTGTCGGTAATACCCAACGGTTTCAATATTTTTTCCTGAACATAGTGTTCAAATCGCATTCCAGCCAAACGTTCAATAATATATGCTGCTAAATTAGTACCCGCATTTGAGTAAAAAGTTTTGTTTCCAGGTGGAATAGGTAACCAGCCATCTGTACTATTGAAATATTTTTTAAGAACGTCGCCCAAATTTATTTGTATGAAAGTATCATTCAATGTATAAGACTCAAGTTCTACTGCAGCATTGACTCCAATACCAGATGCATGCATAAGCAAATGCCGCATGGTGATTGAAACATTGGGATATTGCGGATGGACAATGTTCAGATCAGGTGCCAAGTATTGATTGATGTTTGCATCGAGATTCAGACGATTGGCTTCCACCATTTGCATAGCTGCTACAGCAATGAATGTCTTTGAAATGGAAGCCAAAAGGAAAATCGAATCTGAGAGATCTATCGGTCGACGTTGGCTTGAAAGCAAAGGGCTGTCATAACCGAAAGCTTGTTCATAGACGATTCCATTCGCGTCAACAACAACCAATGCCGCACCGTACATCAAAGCTTTTTCAAGAGTCGGCTGGATCGATGATACTGTGGGAGGACATGGAGATTGCTTGGTCTCTGCCTTTGTCCAAGCAATGAGAAAGAAAAGCAAGTATATTTGCATGATAGATCGACCGTTTACAACCAGATACTATTCTACTACTATCAAGATATCTATGTATGTAGACAAAGAACAAAGTATAACTCATACTTATCGAGATAGAATGAGTTAAAATAAATACGAAAGGTTTTCTCTATGTTCTTTATATGGTTTAAGTGAAATTTGACTATCCTTTAAACTATCGCTGATATTTAGGACGTATTAAGAGTAAAGTCAATATGTTGTTCTATTGAAATGTATTAC